AATTTGTAAAAAAAAAATAATATATTCATCCGACGGAAATTCAAATAAAGTAAAGTAATTATTCAGGAAATAAGTTTTACTTTTTAAAGAATTGAAACCATCGTTTGTTCTTTGTTAATCAGATGAAATACAGTAAAACCTCTAAAAGACAGACAATATCAAAAATAAAAAAGTACCTTTCTTTGAAGATTATTTTGTATGCATGTTTATTGAAAAACAAAACTTTGAGGCCCCTCAATTAAAAAGTTGNACGGTTTTTAGCATTTCCTAAGTAAAAAAATCCCGTATTTTTCCCACATCAAAGTATAAAGTACTCATTCAGGAAATAAGTTTTACTTTTTAAAGTATTAAAGCCATCGTTTGTTCTTTGTTAATCATATGAAATACAGTCAAACCTCTAAAAGGCGGACAGTAAGAAAAATAAAAAGTAGCCGTTCTTTGAACATTATTTTGTATGCATATTTATTTAAAAAACAAAACTTTGAGGCCCCTCAATTAAAAGGTTTTTTCATACATTCGTACATCAGATAATATTTTAGTAAATTTTATTTTAATATAAATGTGCAACACTCGGTTAAAACGTTTTTGACAGAAAAAAATAACTGAAACTATTTAAAAAAGAGTAGCTTCAATTGCATAACGTCACACGCAGTCAACCAATGAGACCTAGAACAGTAAGACGATATGACGTCACACAGCGCAATTACAGTTTACAATAGACTGGTTTTCTATTCAGAATTTTTAATACTTGAGGAAAATATTTTTAAAAATGAAAGGTGATTTTTCATTCAATCTGATATAATCGATCGTCGTAAACCTTACGCTGAATATTATTAAAACAATTCAGGAATCTTAATTCAAGATAGCAATGAATAAACAGGTAAAAATCACTCCACTAAACAAAGCATTCAAATGCGCATGTTAAGGTAATTTCTATTTAAACTTTTTAGGTAAGAAGAATCGACACTTCGAAGAAAACGAAATGTTCGTGTCTGACAAACACCGTATCCAGTATAATTGGTCAACTTGGTGTAATAATTAGTCGATATCCCCTTTATTTTGTTATTGCTCCCGTCATTCTTTCTGGTTTATTATCAATTGGACTGATTGGAATTCAAACCAATGACGACACCGATTCTCTCTTAACTGCGGATAGAGGTAAAGTTTTTGATGCCAAACAGTTTATAGATAAGACATTCCATACCAATTCTTAGACGAAATAGAAATTGTAGATCAGGTTGTAAAAAATATCACAGCTTCTGTAGATGGAAAGAACATTGTTTATTCGAACGTGTGCCACATTGAAGATGGCAAGTGTTTAGAAAACACTTTTATTGATCTGCTAAACAATTCCGATAATGCTATTAATGAAATATTAAGGATGAAGTATCCTGTCAATATCGATCCTGTAACATACGCGTACAAAATCCTTTCTCTGAATTTAGGAGGGGTGACGACAAACAACAAAGGATACATAAAGGAAGCAAAAGCCGTTCTTTTATTGTATGTACTAGATGCTTCGAACGAAAATAAGAAAAAGTGGAGTGAAAAATATATCTAGAAAAAACGTTTCGTTATATGTAACGATAAAAAATAAGAAACCTTGTTTTCTGGTTTATTTAATATTGAATTGTCTGCGTAAGGACGCTTTTGTTCAAAGTTTTTTCAAATTTATGTAAATTTAGTTGACCCATATCACGCAATAACAGAGAATTTTGAATAAAGTTATTCGAGAAATGTTTATAATAAGTAGTTTGAATTTAATTGATTTAATAAACGTCGTGTTTTGTTTAGTAAGATCGCATTTAACATTAACGTCACATTAGTATCAACGTCATTATTCTAGTGGATTATGATGTAAAGAGATCAGAATTAAATGGAATTATCGATGTAAATTATACAGTCGACCCTTCCTAAAACGCGGTAAATACGTTCCACTTTATAAGAATTTCACGTTGTAGGAATCCTTAAATACATTAGCCAATCACAGCCCGGCACGTGAGCAGTTTACGGACTAAAGTTGTTTGAAATTATTCGATTCTAGTCGAATTTGACTCAACATTTCCAAAATACATATACTTTTTTGGGAATAATCCGTATAAACTATGCTATAAACATAAAATTGTAAGATTACTTACCCAGTGTGCACCGTTCGACGTCACCATTGCTTAAGCTTGTTTTCGTCGCGGAGCAGCGCACCAAACGGCGGCCGCAATTTCTATTAAGTTATTTTTCTGCGAAAAATTCTTTGACATTTGGAGACATCATTAATAGAAATTAATTTTATGGCCGTTGAATAAGAAATGTTTTTCACAAGAAATGTATAAAATTACAGTACTGTATTAGACTTACGGTACCTAATTTACATACAGTACAGACGATAGTAAACTCAACGTACTCGCCTAAACTCTCCGTAGCGTGGCGCTAGACGGCGGAAAGTATATATATAATTATAATAAAGTTAATATAAATTAAGTTAGTATTGTACAGACGATAATAATACTGTACAGCCGAGAGTAAACTCAACTTACTCGTATAAACTCTCTGTAGGGTGTAAGTAGTTCGGCTGATTGTCTACTATTAGTCGAGATTCGACAAATCCTGTCGCGACACGAGTCGGCGATGACGTTTTACCGCATTTTACGCGTTCCTTTTAGCATTTTTATAGAAATACTGTCGCAATTTTTCGCCGCGTTATAGGAATTTGCGTTATAGGAACCGGCGTTATAGGGGTTTATTGTAAATAACTCCGTTCTGTGAAGCTTCAAAATATAATCATTTAGTCATAATTAATTCTGTCATTCAAATGATAATATAATGAATTTATTCGTGTTGAATATTTCAATTTACGTAGAAGAGGAGAAATTATGTGAAATTTCTGTTTATTTCTTCGTATTAAACAAGGTTTTAACATTACATTGTAAGAAATTACGGAACAAAGTGTTCGATAATTTCTCATAATAGGAATTTTTCCCCTTAACATTTAAGATCACGCGAGCTGACTAGCCTTTGTCACTCGAAAACATCGAGTGGCAAAGACCTAGGGGATAGATTTTAGGAACCAGTGTTGGTGTTATGTGACGGCGTCGTTTACTAAAACGAACCGTGATATGTATATGCGACGATTCGATGCGACGAACAAACGATATAGTGGTTCAATTGTGAATATTATCATCAGCAGTGTTTATAAGAATGTGTTGATGAAACCATCGGATCTTAAAATAATGAAATTTTTGCTACCTCTTCTTGTTTGCCTTTAATACAGGAGAGCCTGTGCTGGGTCATGGAGCAAAGACTTCAATGTTTTTCTATCTTTCCACCACTTTTTTTCAAACACACGTACACCGTTTATAGTGCGTACTTTTTCTTATGTCTTCATCGATGTTGTCCATTTACCTATTTCTGGGTCTAAATTTCGAGCCGATTGATGGATTAATACTCACCTGGCGCCTAGGACAAATTACTGCACTCCAAACTGGGTTAGATGGAGCGTGTAACTTGTGGTGTATCTATTGTTAAATATATAGCAATTCTGCAATTATAAATGTCATATTAATTACATAAAGTTAACAATTTTTAAATTTAAATTTTCAAGTTCAACGTGATATGAAAGCGTGCTCCCGGGCAATCAACCACTGTACGAAATCATTAGAAATCTAACACTTTATGGCATTCTAAAATAAAAATTCCTAAATAAACAATTAAAAAACGCAAGATTTGTCTTTATTATTGTTTCTGTAATAATAATATCGAAACAATATTACATTATCAAATGAATTATATGAATTACTAACTTTGTTTTTCGTTTCAAATTTTCTGTACTTTTATACAGAATTTGATTAATTCAATATATGTTTGTTTCCATACAGTTTCGAATACCTGACAGTGGCTTATATAAATTGCCTTGAAAGAAATGAAAGAATATAAAGCATAGGTTTGTGTTTTTTTAATACTCTTTCCGTCCTATGGGCACTAAGGAAGTCTCTTATAGCAGACACACAATGGGTTTAGCCAGGCCCCACAATGGAGCGACCGGGTTATGAGGGACAGGTCCGACATATCCGAACGGACCACCCCCCGAAAAATTCCTGGAGATCCCTTTGATCATGGGTCCTCCAGAGCGGTAGGCTGCCACCTTAAACGCTCAGCTATCCGGCCGTCTGCGTAAGTGTGCTTAAAACCACTCTTGTATCATTTCCAAACTTTTCTACTTGTAGTTCTCTTTTTAGAGATAGTAAAAACACAAATATAAAATTTATAATTAAACCTTTTGTGTCTAAAGACAATAAATTGTCAAACCAATATTAATATCGCAGTGTTAAGTGGCACAAAGCCGCCTTTTGCCGACATTAGAAGTCGTTAAGTAAGACACTATAAGAATGTGTGACTGTAGGGTGGGCACCTCTTCGATGCTACTTCAGGACGACACCGCTGTGTCCCTTTCGACACAGAGGCAGTGACTGCAAATTGTTGTTGTTAGCGGCCGCAAAGTACAGCTTTGCAAGAGCAAAACGCTATTGAACGGGCGCTAGCACACTCGATAACGACATGGTCCCAGCCGAATTTCTTCGCTGCGGTTAATCCTTCGTTAGCGGAGTGATACATAGCAATTACTTCATTTGAAAAAATTTTGATTCTACAATAAGATTTGGTTTTTGACACTTAAACATAGCTTCATGGATGATTCGTATATCAAACATTCTTCACTGGCATTGCTATAATTCAAAAGAGTATCGAACAGCTTCAAAACAAAACCGAATTAGTGGGGAGGTCTATAACAACGACGTAATACACGGGAATTTCCGAGAAGAGTAAGGAACAAAGCCAACCAGGAAGCATTTTAATCGACTTTGTTCTAGCTTATAATTTGCATCGTAATTTTGAAAAAAAAAATATATTGTTATAAATTTTCCTTTAAAAAATGCAATTAAAATACTTGAAATATTAAATCTATGACGTAAACTCGTGACCCGTAAGGCGTGATGCATTGCAACGTTCGATAAATTCAAATTCGTACGATTCGAATTGCAGCAGCCATCTTGAAAAACAAAAGTTTTCGGTCATTGCTAGTTCTTTTTCTCCATTTTAACATCCTTCCTGCAAATTTAAATAAGGAAAACTTGCGTAACGAAGGTAACTTAATATTTTTTGATTAACAAGATATCAAAATTGAATAACTAGCGAATTAAATAAATTCGGTCGAGCTCCGAGGTGTGGTATTCATAGGTCGATGATAACTTTTCCTCTTGTATTTTAAAATACACTTACTCCTCTATTTGTTTAAATATCTAAGTACTTAAATGACATGAGAAATACCTACGATCTGTGAAACTTTAAACTACAATCATTTTTTTATAGTTGTAACTGTAATTAATTAATTCATTCATTTTAATGATAATATAATTATGAATTTATTTCTGTTCAACGTTTTAATTTACGTAAACATGTAAAAATAATGTATTTTTTCTGAAATTTTCAATAATTTTTTCGCGTTAAACATCGTTTTAACATTACATTGTAAGAAATTCTAATAATTTAAATCGTTCTTTTTATTCCAAATTTTAAGACTTAAAATTAGGCTTAAGCTTAAATTCGAAGGTGACTTATAATCAAAATAATACGGTGTTTGTTTATATACAAATATATAAACATCTAAAGACTTTGAAATATTTAAAACTTATTTTATATTTATTATTTTATTCTATATATAAACACAGATGAAATTTCTGTGTAATTTCTACTACTATAATAAGATAAACCCTACTAACATGACCTTTGACTAATTACTATTATTGTCATTTAATTGCAGAAACAGTGGACGATTGATGTCAGAAGATGGACAAAACTATGACTGATTTCCGCTTCATGAGATCTTATTTATGGGAAGATAAAGAGAACGATTTTCCACTAAAAGATTACTTTGTAGAATTGACTGTAGAAAAAACGGATTATCTTGGACGGAAAATCGGAGAGAAAATACGTCTGAATGAGATATTTTCCATACAATCAGATGGGCGTCCAACTATTTTAATTACAGGAGATCCCGGTTATGGCAAATCTACTCTGTGCCAGAAAATTGTGTACGATTCGCAGAATATATGCAACACTTTTCATTAATTTTTACTATAAATTTAAGGGACTTAGGCGATAGAAGCGTAAAGGATTATATACTGGATGGCCTGAGTACAGACCCGAGAGTCAAAGATCTACAATATTCACGACTGAATTTTTTGGTGATTTTGGATGGTTTCGATGAAATTGCACATAAATCTAAAGTCATAAAATTTCTAAGAGACGAATCTTTAGAAATTTCTCTTCAAATGACAATCCTGGTTACTACTAGACCTCATGTACTGGAAGAAATTAGAGAGGACATGACGATCTGGTTGTCGATAGAAGGATTTACTCGAGAATGTCAGGAAAAATACATTAAAATAATTTTTAAAGACGACGAGGGCAAAGCCAACGAAATATTTCGTAAACTGAATGAAGACGAGTTCTACGCAGAGATAGCTCAATCTCCTCTGATGCTGCATATGTTGTGTTGCCTTCATAAGAATGGAGAAATAGTAAAGCTCAAAACAATGGCTGATTTACATCTCACAATATTTACTCTTATAACTGAACGTTACGTGAGAAAAACTAATCAGAAAGGCAAGTTTAAAACAGGAAAATATTTCGTGGGAGAAAATTTGCTACTCGATTTGGTAAAGAAATCGTCGTGTTCTATCACATCACAAGATTTAAAGGCTTTATTTCCGAAAGAAGATGAACGCAATTTCGTCATTGGATTGGACATTCTTACTGTCGATTCGTTTCATCCATTCGATGATATAATTAACTATCGTTTTGTCCATCGCACATTTGGAGCATTTCTTTCAGCTTTATCCATTTACATCCGGAAATTTTCATCTCTATCTCATATTGGAAATATGGAATTATTATTTTTATTTGGATTTTATAAGGATAAACCTCTCCCCAAAAAGATCTTAAGAGCTATGGAGAATGAAATGTTCGATCTTCAATTCATGCTTCGCGCTCACAAACAAATCAAACTGAAGAAGAATTGGGAACGATTTTGTTCTCTTGCAAAAATAGTATTACATCATCGCGCACATTTTATTTATTTTGAAGAGCTATTGAAATTGTACGAATTGAAAGAATTATATTTATGTTTTCATCAGACCGCAGTCGAAAACGAAGATCGAGAAAGTTACGTAAGTGACATCGTGAAGAACTGGAGTTTGGGGAATAATTGTAAGATTTATCTTATTCTCTCGCTCCACGAAGCACTTTCGGATAATTTGAACGATATCAGAGAACCAGTTTTACGCATTATCAATTTCATTGATGTAATGAGCTCAATTAATTCCAACATTGATTTTATTGGCGTGTGCTATAGGAAGGTTTTTTATTTGCATGATTGTTTCACGAATGTAAATTATAATTTAAATATGTCTAACATCCGGAAATCATTAAATCTAAGCGAAGACGAGCAATTAATTGCTTTGCAATGTTCAAACAGCGAAAGAGAATCCATCACTTGTATTCTATCGTTGTTGCAATACGAAACTTTACTTCATCGCATCAAATTTCAGCGAATCAGTAGATCGATAGACTAAATTGTTAAAGTAAAATAATTGTATTCGTATACAGTACACAGTATAACTCTATTGTTTGAAATTGTTTTTGTTGATTATATTTCGGCGATACAGTGTTGTATATACAATAATTTTGCAGTCAAATAAAGCAAAATTTAATCAAATGTTGTTTTTAATGGCAAAATTTAAAGGGAATTTAATTCTTTTCTATTCCGTGAGTATAAATAAAAACGAAATTAGTATATTTGTTTAAACGGTAAGATAAATACCAGTTTAATGTACTTAATAATGTATTTCAAAAGGCAGTGATTTTAAACTCAATTTCAGTAAAAAATCGGTAATTAATCTGTGGGGAATAATTTCAGATCGGTATGAGATAGTATTTGATCCACTCGTTTTTTCCCGAGTGTGATCCGTGTTTTATATATGTATGTTACTCCACAGTATATATTTTGTCGGATTTATATTGTTATGTTAATTTATTGTTTTAGTTCTAAAATATTCTGCGCTACTTTTAAACACAAAAAATCGAGATTTTATATAATGTAAACAATAAAAATTTCGATTGTTTTCATTAAGCTTATATTATGTATAAAGCAGAAATGTCCAACTCGCAGCCCACTTAATGTTTATATGCGGTCCAATGCACCCTAAATTTTTAAGGTACATTTTATTTCATTTTTGGTAAGATTTGTTGTAAATATTATTCTTGTTTCACTGGATACACTTTGGTGTCGTAATGACGTAATTGGTTATAGAAAATTGTTTTATCCAGATAACTGTTAGGCATGTGGAGAAATACGTACTGTTGTGGACAATTCTTTTTGTGTATGAAAAACATCAGAACAGCTGAAAGAAATATATTAAATGATTCTGATTTAACTAACATTCTTATAATTAAGAGTAGTATCACAAATGCAGATATTGACAATATTATAGGCCTAAAAGAAAGGCGATGTCATTATCCCCATTGAATATATATCTGTTTTGTGTAAGTACAATTTTTTACTGTCAATAATACAGTATCTTTTTGTAATTTTTTATTATTATATGTTTGTTATTAAAATTTAATATTTACTTTTTGGATTTTTCAAAAGCATATATTTATGTATTTATAGGTATCAATGTAGCTTGCTGAATATACGTAAATTTTTAATTTCACAATAAGGTGTGACAATCCTGGTATAATCACCGGTAAGGTTAATAACACCGAAAAGATTGTTCAAGAAAACGGTAAACAATCTTAGAAAACATTAACGGCGAGCAGTTACAATCAACTCTCATCATAAACGAGTAGTTTACATATAAAGCAACGAGTAAAGATACAAATTTATACCTGAAACCATAACGCAACACCATTGACCATAACAAATTTCTACAAACCCTATCAAACGCAGAAGATAAACTAACAAAGAGGCATACGTCCTCTTATGTTTTCTTAAAAAAGTTTTTTGAATAATCGTGTACAAAATAACGTTATCCAATGTAGAATGACTAGACCAGAATCCTTGCTAAATTTCATACAATATATTTTTAGTTCGTAACTATCGAGTCAATCTTCCATACAAAATAGTACAAAAAATTTCCAAACAGAAGATAATCACAGATTCCTTTATAATTACCAGTACGTCTCTTCTTCCATTCTTAAAAATCGGAAAATACTTGTTATCCGATACACCGGTATTTTCTCAGAATAAAAAAAAACTTTTAAAAAAGACTTAAAACCTGTGGTCCGAACATTTTAATATTCCAAAATTCCATTGGGATCCCATGAAGACCTAGAGTTTTATCTGACTTATATTTTTTCAAAACATCATTAAGTTCACCTATAGTAAATCCATTGCTGAAAACTTTATCATACCAATTCCCACGACGATTAAAAATCGAAATATCTTAAAAATAAGGATCCAAACAACCAAATACATTTAAAAAGTGATGAAACCACTGACTAATAGGAATGAAATAAAGATAAACCTTCTTAACGTGTCGAAAATAACTCTAGAAAAGCTTATTGGCTTTACTAAAACAATTCTGAATTTTACCAGGATATAATTTTTTCGCAATGCAAACAATCATTAGAATCATTGCTCTTCCTGAATTATCCCCATGCCTCATTCCTAGCACAAATTAACATCTTACAATCTGAATCGAACCACGAAAAACAATCCTTATGTCTTCTAGTATTAAATGTGAACTTAATGTACAATACAAGCCAAATTAAAAAGAAAATTGCTCAGATCTTCTATTGAATAAAAACTGTTCGAAACACATATTTCTTTTACAGCCAAACTCAATTCATACTTTTTAAATTCATCCCAAAATATTCTATTAATCCCCTGCCTTTTCTATAAAGAAACATACGTTTCGTTGCCACAGGCCAGTCGTAAAATCAACGGGCGATGAAGCCAAGAACAATCCGACGTAAGAGAAACAACATTTTTCAAAATTAACAAAGAAACTATGACCAAATCAATAACAGAACAACCACGTTTAGAGATAAAAGAATATTCACCGGCTTTATCTCTTAAACATCTCCCATTAACAATAATAATATTTAAATCTTCACATAAGTGAAGCTGCTTCCTTAAACAAGAGTAAATAAGTAAGTGTTTCAAATTCCTCTGCTTAAGACAAACAATACCAAAAATATAGAGTTTTTATTGTATGTTTTCTAATATAATCAGAATAGTTTAGACAAAACCCCAACTAAAATATATATAGACTAAATTTTATTTATTATAAACACTTAAACACTTCGAACATTAAATCACAGACAAAAGTATACAATAATAAATTACTGTATATAATATAAAAATATATAAATATTTAATTTAAATTTTAGGTTAAGGTTAAAAATAAGATTTCATGTTTAAATTTTGGGATCGCGTGTCAATAAAATAAGAAAAATAATACCAATAAATAAATAGATATGATAATTTATTAATAAGAATATTCCTTACCTACAAAAACATATTAGTATCAATAATACAACACTAACAACAAGTCTCTCAAGTAATTATTTAAAATGAAATACAGCTAGCCTGTAAATAGAAAGACAATATAAAAAGAGAAACGAATTCATTATATGAGGAATTATCAAAAAACTATCATTTAAATCTTTATACCAATAATTATATGCACTATTATTTATTTTTCCATCTATGTCATAAAAAATTATCAAAAATGATGATAACGAGAAGAAAAGACCAATCCATCATAAATAAATCATCACTTATAAAATTAATTTCGTGATCGTTACAAGTGCCAACAAGATAACGTGTTCAATATATAGAATTCTTACAAAGTAGAAATATCAGGCAAACCTTACTCAAACGATAGTCATCGAAATTAGAATTCCTGATAATTCAGTTTCCTATCCTACTAAATATAAGTTTAATAGGCACGTTTCACCATGAATAAATAAGCTGCTGTACAACGAGGTAAACAAAACATGTTTTTAATGAATTCAATCTTTATACCATCACCATTAACAAAATGAAAACTCCAAATTTCTCAGTCATAAAACAAAGAGGCAAAACCACAGTTTTCAATAGACAAATAATCATTGAAATTACGTAATCTGACATATTTTTTAACTGAATGAATTTATTTATCAATAATCTAACGTAAATTTCCTTATTCATATGATGCATTCGAAATAAACCGTTAGACGAAAAAGGAACACGCAAATATTTTTATTTAGAAACAACTTGAATTGAACAAGCTCTTAAACCGCTATCCGTATTCTTACCATCTCTTCTCAAGACAACAACCTTAGACTTATTCAAATTCAGTACCAAACTATTTTGATGTAAATAAATTGTAAATATATCAGTCAATCTTTGATGCCCAACCACCCAATCAGATAAAATTACAGTAATATCTGCATAAGCATGTATTTTAATTTAGAAAATTTTTGTTTCTGTATCGGTGTTATTAACTCTTCCGGTGATGACCGGAAGAGTTAATAACACCGATAAGATTGTTGAAGGAAATCATAAACAAGACTGGACTTGGAATACAACCTTGCTTAACACCAATGTTAGAAAAAATTAATGGAGAACAGACACTTCAATCTCTTACCATAAGCAAAGAGTTTTCATACTGAGCAACGAGTAAAGATACGAACTTATAACTGAAACCATAACCTAATATCTTTGACCACAACAAAATACTATAAACCCTATCAAATGCGAAGATAAATCAGCAAAATAGCCATTCGGCTTCTTACGTTTGCTTAAAAGAGTTTTTGAATAATCGTGTATGAAACAACGTTATACAATGTAGAATAACTAGACCGGAATTCCACCTGATTTTCATGCAATATACTTTTAACTTGTAACTATCGATTCAATCTTCTATACAGAATAGTATAAACAATTTCGAAACACAAGATGATAACCAGATCCCTCCATAATTACCTGGAACGCAGCTCTTCTTCCATTTTTAAAAATCGAAATTAAGATACTTATCTTCATAGACTTCGGCATTTCCCAGTTTCAAAATACTTTGAGAAAAGATTTAATTGATGTGGTCTCAACGTCTCAATCAATACTAATACTGTACTACCTTACCTGCGATCATTGCTGCGATCTCAGAAGAAACGAAATTCAAGCAAACTCGTTACAATAAAATTTAATTTACATTTTATCATTTTTATTGAATCTTATTATTATTATTTATTTTTATTATTATTCATTTTCACCGGGAAAACATTTCAAAGTGTCGTTTCAATTCTATTTATTTATCGGAGTGCTTGTGGATACACGATATTTTTTCTTTTTCCGTCTGGTGAGTACACGAATAAATCAGAAGTTCATCCGACGCGTGAGCTGGCCACATACAGTTGTACAGTACACAGTCGCCATCACCTCGTTCGTGTCTTTTTTCTACACAAAATTTAAGTAACGCATCAACGACACATTCGCATTATCTTTATCAGATCGAACAAGTACGGTCTATGTATAAACTGCATTAAGTTTTCTTTAGGTGCTACATCCATGTAGTTTCTAGAGTACTGTACATGATAACGCCAGAAGGTCTAAGATTCTACGATGGAAACTGGACTGTATTCGAAATTTTATTCAACCAGAGATAGCTACTACTGTGACGATTTCTTGCAATGTTATAATTGTAAAGGGCAC